TGCGATATTATATGTAGGTGCAGTTATACGCAGTTTGTTCCGATTGACCTGATGAAATTCGGTCCCCGGGAAACGACGCGTCAATATTCTTTTAATCCCTAAGAAGTTAAGGGCTTTCTCTTTCTGCCGAAAATAGACAACCCAAGGCGAGGCAGAGGACGCCTGATAATGGCGCTTTCTAAGTTTATCATTGGGAGGCTTACTGCCCCCATTTGAACCATCCATTAGAAATTAAAAATTGTTGTCAAAAAGTAATTATTATTTTACTTTTTTTTATTAACGAACCACCCTATGTGGAACGATTCTACTGGGGGAGAGACAGACGATCCACAAGCAAACAGTCAGAGGAATGGGAATACAAAAACAGATACGTGCTACTATTTGCCCTTACCGTTTCTACTGCTATACTGTTGCTGCTCTGCCACAATAGATGCCGGTCGTACACACCGTCCGTGCGGCGGCTCACTGCTTTCTGCTGGTTATTGTTTCCAGTCGTACACACCGTCCGTGTGGTTGTCGTTTGCCGATGTGTATTACACGGCTCTTGCTGCTGACTATGGCTCCGATAAAATCAGTTTGATATCTTCGAGCGGGTTAAAGATGGACAGTCCGATCGTAGGCTTCGCCAGGATCGGCTGCTTCCTTATGTAATGCGCGAGTCACCTGAGGCACAAAAACTGCTTTCAGAAAAAAAAAAAAACTTTTCGCGGTGAAAACACTTTTAAAGCTATGCCATGTGACGAGACAACAGGCCTTGATGTTGCTTATTCGCAAGCAGAACGAGGAATGCGCGTCCAGATTTACTTTGAATAGAGCTTTAGTACCGTCCCAATGACGCGTTCATCTAAATAAAATTGATAAATAGCAGATTTTTAGCGATGGGCCCAATCTTAGATCCATAGGCCAACATTAGAGCCATTTCTCCTATGTATATTTTGTTAAAACTACTGTAGACTTTCTTAGTGCCAAGTACTCAATTTAAACATTTTGTTGGTATTTTTAAATTTCACTCTATTTTAGTAGTGAAAAAGTGACTTTAGTGACTATTTATATGAAAATTCAAGCTGCAGAACGGGTAAGACAAAAAAAATCAACTGCGTCGCGGACGATTTTTCTACGTGGGACACATATGCGTTTAATGGCAGTTCCACAGACAAGCAGACATAACACTCACAAATTGTTCATCGCACAAGCATTTAACGGTCAATTTAAAAGTATCTCAGTTGGTAGTTCTGCCACATGTGGCGCGCATAGTCAATTCCCTTGCGTTTGACGTTTACACACTACCGCCATCTGTTCAGCGTACTACCCACCACAGTGTATTCAACAGATGGCGGTAATGTTTTAGTGACGATGTTTTACAATGAGAAATATTCAATGTGTTATGTCTGTTTGTCTGTGGCAGTTCTATGATTCGATAATGAACAGTACACTGAAACAAAATCCATTGGCAAAAATACTATATTGCTGGTTTAAATTAAATACTCTCACCAATACATTTTTGGAGAAAACAAAATCATTTAATTTTACTATTATTTCTTTCAAAATTACTATGCATTTTGAGCATGCATAGTAGCTTTGTCAGAATCATAGTAAATTTGTTAACATTCATTGTCAACTATACTGAATTCATAGTAGATTTAACAGTAACAGCGTGTCGACTCAACGAAGAAAACAAAATTCCCTGATATTCTCAGATTTTCCAGTAATTTCTAAAAAAAATCCAGGTACAGTACCTACCCGGTTTTGGCAACAAAACCGTTCAGCTATAACTTTCCTTAGAATATATTAGTGCTTTATGGACATTTTTTCATGAAATACCACACGGACCTCTAACCCATGAAGAGTGGTCCAGCACAATTTCAAATTAAATAAAGCGTTCCATACATTTTGCAAAAAAGACAGAAATCTCGTGTTACCAAGAACGGGAAGGATTCGCATTCTACCCTAGGAGCATACATTCATCCAAATCTCCTTCATCTTCATGGTGACCAGCAAATCTCGATTAGCAATTTTCCCGTTTTTCTCCCGGAATATTGGAAATTATCGCGGTTTAGGTATTTTTTATTAAACACAAAACTGAATGCGATTAAGCTGAAGGTTAAATGGGTAATTTCTAAGACAGCAGCACTTGCTGGATCTTGAATTTAGATCTGCAACAGGTTCGAAGTCTTCACAATTTGTATATGAAAATTTCGCTCAAAACTTGACAAGCTTTTATTTCATTGTTCTCAAGCCTTTCCTTTAGATTAATTTCCTTTCACATAGATCTTTCCAGAATTCTTCCAAAAAAATATTTGAAATTCTCTCTGGAAATCCCTTGAAAATTTTTTTATATAGTATAGAAATCCTCTGTAGAACACTCCAAAAAATCTTAAATTTCATCCTTTCTTCGAATTTTAAATTCTTTCAAAGAATTCGCTGGAGCTTAAATTTTGTTATATTTGTATGAAATTCTCTGTAGAATTCACCTCAAAGCAACAATTGAAAAGAGCCTATTAGATTTTGTCAGCAAAAGTTGTAATCCCCCTTCCCTGTCAACACCATCTGGCAGGCGAAATTCTTTCGCCAAATTTTGCTCAGAATTATCTTGGAGTTCTCCTCTAAATTCTTTCGAAACGCGCTTGATATTAAACTCGGACTACTCTTATAGATCTTTGCATAATTATTTTGGTATTGTACCCTCGAAATTCACGTTCCTTGGCATTTTTCAAGAATCCTGGAATCCTCTTCACTCTTGGGAAATCTAGTAAAAACTCTGCTAGAGGTTTTCCTAAAATATTCTCTGAAATATCTTGGTGTTATCTCTAGAATTCATTCTAAAATCTGCTCAAATTTGTTTTGGAAAAAAAAAGTCTAAAATTCTCTTAATAGTTCGTTAAAGTGACTGTTGTTATCCTGAAAATCTAGACCAGTTGTTTTCGAAGAAAGGACGAGGTATATTTTTTCAGATTTGTCAGTGCCAAAATTGCAAAGAGGCGTAATTGCAATTGTAAACAATGGCTTTAGCCGTCGATTTCTTGCGAATAAAAGCTCACTCATGAAAAATAATGACACCAATAGGTAGATGAATGTTTCCTCTACCATCTAGCATTGCTTTTTTGAAGGAGTGAGCTTTAAGATGCGAGAAATCGACTGCTAAACCCATTGTTTACAAAAGCAATTACGCCCCTCTGAAATGTTGGCTCTGATATTTGTTTTACCTTGAGCACATTTTGAGACTCAGCTCCATAAGAAAACTATACCGGATAATATGTTGAACCAAAAGCTAGTTCGCGGGCGGACTCCTCCGGTGGAAAATAGTAAAAATGACGCTTTCATCTCCAAAATTATTTAAGTTAATTCCATCTATATTGCAATAGCAGCAACATAACCATACTAAAACTTTACTGTGAAGCTAATTTCACGAGCTAACCAGGTTTTCAATGAAGACCTAGAATGCTGACCACAGCCACTCTATGCTGTCAAAGTAATTCTTGTCTCATTGAATCATTATTCAATCATAAAAGTGCTACTCCAAGCAATAAAAAAAACCTCCCAAGCAAGACCATTATCCTAAATTCTCATTTAGCTAGTTCTCTGAGCTAATCAAGCTGTTAGGAACACAATAAGGAACAAGTACTAGACGTATTTAGACAAAAAAATCATTATCTTCTCTTAAAACTGGGTTTAAACAAGGCAAGTCAATTGATCAACTCAGTTAAATTCAACTGAGTTAATCAATGACTTGCCTTGTCTAAGCCCAGCTTAACTCTTAATCATTCTTGTATTTACTCAAAAGCGCTCCAATGCGCTCAAGGGATTGATGTTCGTTGGAGACAGCTGGATCGAGCAGACGCAGAATCTACTTGAAAGTAAAATTTTGTTAGACGAAGTTGGGTATAACATCTATTCAGAGACGCACATTTCCATAAGCAGCTTTTTTTCCTCTGTTCGGGACCACCACTGCGACCAGTAATTTGATCTATTGTAGTATATCCCGTGTCCTTAGTTTAGTGCATGTAGTATTACTTCATCACTATTGAGAAATGATGAAGTATTCGGTTTTGATACAGTTGTCATTCTTGCCTTCATCGCAAGGAATGGATTCTAATTGAAAGGTCCCGCTATTTATACCCTTCGGAGTGTTGAAATACCCTCCAAAGGCGCGCCCCTTTGTCAGTTGAAATTGGATTCCTTAGCAACAAAATTAAAGAATGACACCGATAGTGACCATGCATCAGATCAGAACCCTAGTCTTAACCACTTCAAACTAGGGAACAACGAATAGAAGATTAGGGATCACATAGGTGAAGACTAACTAACTCATTTTTTCCTTGTTTCAAGATCATCCTCGGTCCAGGCAGCCCGAGGACTTATCACTATCAACACTAGTAACAAGGACTAAGATGTTTTCCTTTGATTACTGAAAAATCCTGTCCCCTTAGTTTGAAGTAGTCAGGACTAGTAATCGGCGGTAGATCTTACATCCCGTAACGTACCACGAAAATGTGATCTACCCACGTTACGGGGCGCTTAATTTTGCAATAACTAACAACGTCTAGCGTCTCTACGAAACTGAATTTTTATCTCGATTCAACTCAGGAATGTGACAGCACCCAGTGGGAGCTGAATTTATAGTAGGCTCAAAATCATCGAAATATCGTTTTATTTGAGTTACTTTTCCTATACTTGCAAAAATGTAACAGCAAGCATTGAACAACCGCAACTTCACAACTGTATATTCCCTGACTTTCCAGGTTTTTCCAGGTAGTCGACACCCTGAGTAATAAGCGTGGTTATATTGATAATATGTGTTTTCTGCAAAATAGTATTCCTAACTATGGTCCTTGTTTCAGTGTACACCATACCGCGCTATGTCAACGATGTAACGTAAACTTGATAATCGACAAAGTTTCGTATGTGGATTGGACATTACCTACTCTTACATCAAGGATTTCTTTCGCATCTATTTCGCCTCTTGCACGACCCACCCAGAGCAAAGCCAACAACACCCGTCCTTAATTCGCATCGCATTGTATTGTTGTATTATTATTACTTATCTCATTAATTACTAGCATTTTATTCATTCATGTTTCTGCTTGTTTGTATGCTTTTGATGTTGTTCTGTTTTCATTTGTTGTTGCTATTTTGTGTAAAACGTATAGATTCTAGGTTTCTGCTCTTTAATAATGTTTTTTTTTCTTTCTTCTTGTTTCGTTAGGTGTTTTATGTGTGTAAAGTTACAGTCCCCGGGTAATTACTTTACCTCGGTAACCACCTTCTTTCTCCTTCTAAGTAAGAGTACAGTTTCTCCTGTGTACGTGTGTGTGTGTCTGTGCTGTGTATACACAGCAATATGATGGCTTTTGCGGAAAAGGTGTCTGTGTGTGTGTGTTCGTATGTATTTGTGGATGACGATCCGGTACTCTCTTGGCACATTGCTCCTTCTCTACTTTCCGCTTTTACTACTTGATGCGTGGTAATTCTTTTCCGGTTATTTGCAACACTTTTACCTACTCTAGTATGCACAAAACAGGAGCCTCGTCCGGAATAGACAGGAAATGGTAAGCACCTACTAAAGGGCCCGTCTCCTTCACTCGGCACTTGAAGAAAGTGATTTCTGCGGTGCCGCCGTTCTTGACGGTTGTTGTAATTGTATTGTTCTCCCTAGCGCTCTCAGCTTTGTTATTACTTTGAGGATATTTCATAATCTGCTCCGGTTGACTTAAAATGTACTGAAGGGGTTTCACCTTTGCGATTTTTTTCTTCTTTTCTTTTCATTTTGTTTGTTTAAACTATTGTAGATTTATCGTAATTTATTATGCTTCGTGTGTTTCGTTTGTTGTTTTTCACTACTAGACTGTGTTCCACTGATTTCGTGTAATTATGGGATTTGTAAAACGGATCTGCTTAATGCAAGGAAAACTGAGAATGGTACTCGATTAAAAGTCTATAATGTAAGGATTTCCCCCATCTAGGATTGTTGTTTGTGTGTGACTGTTTACACTTACAAGCTATTACACATAATGACAAAAGTTGCGCTTTTCTGCCTAAAAAGAAATTAGTCGAATTTTGTTCCTACGTTTGTTTTAAATAGAAATAGAAGATCTTCTAAGGGTGCCTACTTTAGGATTAATTACAAAACGAAAGGAAAAACTTGTTCCAAAAGACGAGACAATTTTTTGCTTGCTTACGAGACAAAAACAGAAAAGGAAAAAACTATAAACAAAACTACTTCTTCCGTAACTCTGGTTGAAATATGCCACAAGTTACACATTCACGATTATCTCCATTTTTAGTGTGGGTTGGATTTCTCTGGTGTTGATTGAATGTTCTACGTTTCGCTCTCGGCTACTTACGAGACCTTGAATCACTTGCAAACCTAGATATAAAACACCTGAATTTGATTTCTTTTGATTCCGCGTGTGTCGACTGCTTCCATCTCTGATTTACCAGCAAGCTACATACACCTACTTCCGCCTCTCAGATATATATAGGGATTATCTCGTTTGTCATAATGTCAATGTACATCGGTTCTTTAGCCTGCCTGCCTGCCTCTCGCACTTTGCACTCTTCCTATCTCCCTAGACGCATCCACCACTCGATCGTCGCATCGCGTTTCTTATGATTGGCTTGCGGTGGGGGCTTTCTACCGTCGGCTTCTCCGATCCTTCCACCCCCGCCCCTTAAATGGGTTCTTTTTTTTCCGCGTAATTTTTCACATTACCTTTTTGCTTCTTCCCCCTTTCCCTCTTGATTCAGTTAAACATTAAAAATATATAATATTTATATAGCAAAAAATAATAAAAATACTTATATCTTATGAATGGTAGGGCGCCACGTATATTGCTGGGAATAGTCCTTTCCGGTTGCCGATTTCGCCGTTCCACCAGTGCTCGTCGGAGCGATCCGTAACCGTGATGACGTCTCCTCGCCGGAAGTCCAGCTCGCCGGATTCCTGCGCGACAAAGTCGTACAGGGCCTGCACCAACATCTGGAATAAGAGGGGAGGAGTTTAGTACATTTTCTTTATTCCGCTAGGTCAAACGGGTAAACATCAACCACCCATTGGTTTGGGTTGGTTACTAAGTTTTCCAAAATGTCTGCCAGAGTTCAGATCTTTATTTTGATGTAAAACGTAGGTGTGTAACGAAAATGGGGGTGTTTTCAAACGTATTTTTCTCCAAAGCATTAATGTGAAATATGTTATGCAATATGTCATTCTACGGGGAATTTAACAAGCATTTTTTGGCATACAGTACAAATAGTGAAAATAGTTAAACAACTAAGAAATAAAACGAAAAATGGAAGCATCAAATTTGCCCGTACGGTTGCTTATAGATAAACTACTTACAGCTTATATTTATTAAATGCTTGATATAACGATTGCCAGCAACGCTGGCTGGGCGTATCCTATGGCTTACCCTCCCTACTAACAAAAAACCACCCTTCTCGTGACACTTATGAGGGGTCGTAGAGTTCTCTGCATCTCTCGTAAGTAAGTGTCGGACTAACATTCCTCCCCTTTCCCCACCAGATGCAAGGACGTGGCCAGGACAGCTCTGGTCTGTTGGAGGGAGACGCATCCTTTATCTAAGAGGTAGTAATTAATCACAAATTATCATCTAACAGCAACGGAAGAAGGTGGGTCTCCTTCTTAACAACAGTTTGGAGCTCGTACCACCTACGACATTGTGCAACCTGGTTTATGCTATGCTATCAAATTTGCCCGTACGGTTGCTTAGACCGCAAGGTGTCTGTCCTAATCACCACATAAATTGGTACTTAGCTTAGCTTAGCTTAGCTTAGTCTGACTGCACGTATCGATAGTTGCACTCCGTGATTGATCTGAACCAGTGAAATTGTACAAAGAATCAACTGAATGGGGCTTGGTAGTAACCTGCCATTCTCAGTGTACATGTTCCAGTGACTCCTACCTTTAAAGGTCAATAACGTCACCGGCCACGTCCTTGCAATCAGGTGGGAGAGGGAAGGAATGTTAGTGTGTGACTTTTGTTGTTTTGGGACCGTGTTTACCTCTGCATCCCACAAAAGTCACAGGAAGGAGGTTTTGTTAGTGGGTTAGGTTCGTTGGATCAGGATTCACCTTGATAAGTGATGCGATCTTTTGTTTTGTGTAGTTATTTATAAGTGTTTTCGATTTATGCTCTAAACAGCCGGCTGTCTAGAGATGTAGATCATTATTAGATGTGTGTATACCGATTTAAACCAACAATAAGGATACTGTTGGGGCCCCTCACAAAGTGTGATGATGGTTTATTTTATTTTATCAATGACCAAAATAATTAATTATAAGCGGTTTGAACCGATTTAAACCAACAGCAAGGATGCTGTTGGGGCCACTCACAAAGTGTGATGGTGGTTTACTTGATTGAATATAAAATAATTATTAGAACCGATTTGACCCGATTTAGACCAACGGCAAGGATACTGTTGGGGCCACTCACAAAGTGTGATGGTGGTTTATTTAGTTCGGAAGAAAATGAATATGTATACTTCTTTTTTTTTTATATAATAGAACGAATTTGTACTGATTCAAACCAAAAGCAAGGGTTCTATTGGGGCAACTCACAAAGTGCGATGGTGGTTTATACTATAAGGGCATAAAACAAAATCAAGAGCCATTTCGGTTTCCATAGCTTCCTAGACACTCGGCCGCAAAATAATCTTATCCCCTAATCACCACATAAATTGGTACCAAACTAAACAAGCCGAAGTCGCATTTCCATTCGAGTTTCCGAACCGACGCACTATGGGCAAAAATGGGTCCAAAATTACCCAAAATTCAATATCTCAACAGCACGCTGAATTCCGGCCATGAAAAACAACTTTTCCGAAAGGAAATCGTTGGGGGAATCGATTGCACGTGGTCCCATAGACCGGAGAGCCTTGTAGGTATGTGTTTTAGACTATTTTACCCCATTTACCCCTACTTTTTGGAGGAAATGTTTTTTTCACAGCTCTATTTTTCGTAAAACATAAGCACTTTATGCATGGTTTTAGAATACTATGTTTTTAAACAACAGTTCATGAGATATTAGGGGAATACGGGGTACACTTTATAGGGGAGTAAGGGGTAAAAGTTAACCCTCACTAAATTTATTTTAATTCATAAAAATGTTGAACGATGCGATTGTTTGAATGAACCCAAAGGTTGCCTGCAATAATAAGATTTTTTTTGAAATTTTAAGGTTAATTGGGGTTAAATAAGTTTTAATTTACTGCTATCTGTTTTAAAAGAGTTTTCACTTTTTTTGTCTGTATACAGCAAAACGATATAGTGGTTCTCAGAATTTTGTAAAAATTGGTAGTTTTGTTCCTAATCGCAACATATTAGACCCTTATTTTTTTATTTTGCCATTAGGGTGCCTATTTAAAAAAAAAAAATTTTCGATTTTTTTCAAAAATTTATAACTTTTGAACTGTTTGGCCGATGACGGAACTCAAAATACCAAATGAAAGTTAATTAAAAGTATTTTTAAGAAAAAAATATTAAGATATTGAAAAAAAGGGTTTTGTATTAAAAAACATTGATTGTTTTTTTCATTTTTACCCCTTACTCCCCTATAAAGTGTACCCTGTATTCCCCTAATATCTCATGAACTGTTGTTTAAAGACATAGTATTCTTAAACCATGCATAAAGTGCTTATGTTTTACGAAAAATAGAGCTGTGAAAAAACATTTCCTCCAAAAAGTAGGGGAAAATGGGGTTAAATGGTCAAAAACACATACCTACAAGGCTCTCCGGTCTATGAGACTACGTGCAATCGATTCCCCGAACGATTTCACTTCGGAAAAGTTGTTTTTCATGGCCGGAATTCAGCGTGCTGTTGAGATATTGAATTTTGGGTAATTTTGGACCCATTTTTGCCCATAGTGCGACGGGCAGTGTCGTTGGGAAGCGAAAGTAGTCGGAGGATGTGTCCATCGTACGGACGTCCTTACGACCGTGGTTTTCCGCATCAATGTGGTCGTAGAAACCCAATCCGTTGGTGTAGCTAATCGTCACGATGGGGTGTCTTCTTCACTGAACTTCTTTCGGGCAAGTTCGATCGCTTTCGAGAACTCTACCGTCTCGTCGATTGCCATCTTACCCCAGTTATCGTGATGACCATGGTCGATTCGACAGGAAGAATCCCTTTTCGTTCTTACACAGAACATCCGTAGCACGATCGACCATCTCTGCGAGCGTTGGTTCCTTTTCCATGTTCTTGTGGACCCGATCCAGATTGTATGCACAGTGACTAGGCTCGAAAAGGCCCAACAGTCGATCGGTTCTCGCTGGGTCAATGGCAAACAAGTCTTGCTTGTTCCACACAAACGTGCGATTCTCCACTCCAGAACCCAGATCCAACCATTCTTGGATCAGGTTTCTACCATCCGGACAGAAGCCTCGGCCTCCATGATAACCTTCAGCCGCTTACCTGTGTCCCCGTGCACCAGTTGCTTGGCAATATCATTCAGAACATTCGGATCACACCCGTCCCCAGTTATAACGTTATCGTTTTCCCAATCGCGATTAGCCGTTTGAGCGTAGACTCCAGCTGGTGAAGCATGCGTCACTCGGGTTGTCGTAACTAATCCAGCGTCCTTTCCGACATGCATCGCCCATTTGGCAATCGAATGGGTATGGGTACTCTTGCCCAACTCCGCCGTGCAGCTATAGACGGGAACCTGAGCGTTGACACCCCGATCGTTTCGTAGTTACCTTTCACCCCGGTCAGATAGGCAGTTGACGTGCAGGCCGAATCCGGCACCTGATAGTTAACGAAGTATGTCTTCGACATACCGATATACGGGAACTGTTCGAATCGAATGCCAGCTGGCGTTCTTCTCCGCCGGCGTACACGCGGGTCATCGCTGTCGTAGCAATGGACATCCCATCACCCAGGAACATGATGACGTTCTTGGCGACATTCTTGTTCTCCTTCCGATTGACTATGGTGTCCGCGGTGTGCTTGGCATTGTCCTTCCAGTTGGTCTGCTCCTGTTGGGCATTGCGATTTAGGGAGGACTTTTCTTCCGGGAAGCTCGGATGGTACGGGTCGTTGCTTGCCTCTAGAACGCCGTTCAGCAGTCCGAGCGACGTGTTCGTATTGTTCTTCGTGCGATACGCCGCTGTGGGTCATCATGATGTCGAATAACATCAAACCCGCTCACCGTATCCATGGATAAATCGTCTACAGATCTCAGAATTCACCAATCACGACAAAGAACAACCCGATAGCGTGCACCCACCGCTACCAGAAGAATACGAATGTGTGTACGATAAGTGTGTCATCATAATTTCAAAAGACGTCCAGCTCATTACTCGTATTATCAGCCTTCTATAGCCTTCTGTGAACAACTCAAGTGAAACCAAATTTCTCTGGTGCTGTGATGCAATTTTACAGCTCCTACTTTTCCTTTAAGAAGAAGCTTCGCCATGAATGGTTTTGAGAGCAAAACATTTGTTGCCAGCTAGCTTTCTAGTGTTAGTCACAACCTCTGTTGACCATTCCACCACTTAGCCGCTTAAGCAGATCTTAGACGGAACAAGTCTAGGTGATTGGGAATATGGAAAAAAATGTGACCTGGGTCTGCACCGCGTTCATACGGATATTCCAGTTGTTGAACTACTCAGACAGGACATACAAGCCTCTATAAAATAAAAACACTTCGTAACTTGGGGAACCAACTGCTAGAGTTCCCGGAGACAAATCAGCCTTGAGTTCAAGGTCTCCTTAACACGTGCCTCCAAAAAACGTGTTAAGGCAAATTTGCAATGGCATAACGTAGCCATTTCTTGATGAATTTCCAAAAAGGGTGTTAGTTTTAGAATTCCTAGGGTCTGAAGATTATTTTGATTGTAATAAGATTTAACAAAATGGTGAGTTGACAACCTGGAAGGAGCGGAATACCTAGCCCTGGTCCTCACAAGTTCCTACTTCACGCCTCCTCGAGTCATATGATAACAAAAGACTACCAGCTGA